TACTGCACAAACGGGCTTTAAAAAAAATCCTTGAGGGCCATTACTTAGGGATGCCACATTTTAAAAACTAGTTTTGCGTTAAAAAGCAAGACTTTCTCTAGTGTATCTTGGATGATTAAAGCAAGAAACTATTTTTGTCTTGAATTTTTTTAAACGTATGACGTAGTTTTCTGTACCTTTACATCCGATGGCTGTGTGCATTACTTGCCGGTATATGTTGAGGTTTGGTGGTCTAAGAATCTTTCCTCACTGCAGAACTTTGAAAGATAGAAACAGACTTTACAGTAATAAGGGATTAAGTGCGGTGTCGTCCTGAGTAGCCCTCTGGCTAAAGTGCCTCCCCTAGAGTGACCCCGAGATCCTGGAGAATCCCAACGTGAAGCTGGAAGAGGGTGGTGGGTGAATCCACCTGTTACTCTGCAGGTCGCACCTGTTGTATGTGTTGACTGTAGCCTGGTGGAGACATCACAGGTTTTGCCAGAGACACCGATGTAAATGGTTCTGATCTTTGCTTCAGATAAATCCGCTCCCTTCTCCCTCGTGCCCTTCCACAACACAGCAACCCCTAAGACCTCTCTGGGTTCTCCTGCCAGCCTTTGCTGTAGTCGTGCTTAAAAGAAATATTTTATTGCTAGCGTGGAAACTGAACGGTTTTGGCTTCTTTGCCAGAAGATGGCACTGCAAGTCATCCAACCTGGCAGGCGGGGAAGTCGGTGTACCTCCTCCCCTCAGTCTTGGTGCAAAAGACTTGTTTTCCTCATTTTCTGACTTCTAGGCTAACCTCCTGTGACCCTCTCCCACCCACAGTGTGTCAGTAGGAATTCTGGTGTCTGAATGCACAATAACTCTAGTTCTACACACACCCCTTTGTACAGCAAAGCAACGTGTAAACATTGCCAACTGCTAATCTAAGTAAAATCTTTTTTGCTGCTTTCATGAAGAATGATTAGTCAGATACTTCCTTGGCTCCTGCCATAAAGTGTTGGTGGGAACATAAACTGCTACAGTCTTTGCAGAAGGCATGTTAGCAATATGCACATCCTTGAAAGCAATTTCACTTCTAAGACAAGTGGGCAAAGATATGTATACAGGGTAACCATCGTTGTTTATAACCAGAAAAAGTACAAAGTGAGAAATTGACTGAATACAATATAGCCTAACAATAGAGTATTCTGGAAACATTAAAAATGGTCATTGGGACGTATTTATTGACATAGAAAGAAAGGTGCCCTTGGTACATTGTTGAGTAAATAAGGCAGGTTACTCTAACTGTAACAGAGCAAAGGGATCCTGTGCCTGAGGCACAGAAAGCCAAACTCTGACAGCGAAAGTCTGCAGCAAAGTTTATTGCAGGGCTCCAGGCAAAGGAGTGGTAGATAAGCCCCAGATCCACTCTCCTGGGGTCTTTGAGTTAGGGTCTTTTTTTTTTTAAGGGTAAGAACAAAGAGGCTGCTGTTAATCATCATCTTGCGACATTTCTTATCATGTTTTTGGGCATCAGGATGTCCCTGGTTTATGATTCTCCACTCAGATGGTCCATAACTGGAGGGTCTATGAGCTCATCTTGCCCTGGAGAAACAACTTGAGTTTGTACATTAACAATGACATCCATAATGACAATTTTAGTACTCTAACAGTGTCATTGACAACAACAGTGTCAGTCATCTGACCCTGGCTGATTAGTGCTCAGTTAGGACAGAACTGAGGTCAGAGGGGACAAGAAAGGGGATAAAGTTTTAGCTAGAGATTAATTGTAAACTAGATAAGGGAACTTGTTTTTAGGGGGACTTGGTTCCATAATCTGAGTTAAAAGGATTATCTGATTATTTTTCTTTCTGGTTTATATATTTCTATAATATGGTTTTCTTTTTACAAGAATGTGTTTGGATTTCTTTAATTCTTTTTATTTAAACAATTTATTGGATTTTTCTTTCAAACAACAAAAAATGTTTTTTTCCTTGCAACAACCCAATTACACAAGCATACAAAGATTCTTAGGCCCACAGTCTACCTCCAGAACTCACCCTGTGCTCACTCCAATCCAACTATCGTACTCAGGGAAGAAAGGGACACTCTCACCACTGTGGAAGGTGGCTGTGGGTTGAGAACCGTGACCCCATCTTCCTTCCTCTACATTGGGCACTGGAACACCTACAGCTGTCCTCGCGCCTAGCCCATAGCAGTTTTGGGAGCAAGTAAGTTGGTTCTTCAGTTTGGTCCACAGAGGAAGAGGAGTTAATGGATTATACTTGGAGCCTTGTCTTCACCTGATTTAGAAGAGATTTTGGACTCTGAGCTGATGAAATTTAGATTTAGAGGAGGTTCTGGACTTCAAGCTCATAATATATTAGGATGAGACCCTTGGGAAAGCTGGGAAGGGTGACTATTTTACCCGTGAATCATTAGGGGCTGGGCAGGGCGGGGGGGGGCAGAATTCTGACATGGCCCCAAGACTCCCAGGCCCTGATGGACGTGCCTGATATAACTGCCTCTCCTTGAGTGTGGGCTGCACTGTGAATACGGAAGATTTCACTTCCATGATAACCTTATTGGTCAATTGACTTTGAGTTCATTAAAAATGAGAGTAAGGTAGGTGGGCTTGAACTAAGTACGAAGCCTCTTTAAAGAAGTCAGAGAGATTCAAGGAAAAGCAAGGGAAGTTCTCCTACTTGCTTTGAAGCCATAAGCTACTCTGATGTGAGCGGGTCACATAGTTAGGACTTGAGGACCATCTCTAGCTGCTGAGTGCTCCCTGGTTAACAGCCATCAAGAAAGCAATGAAACAGGGCCTCAGTCACAATCGTGTCACAGGACCCCGATTAAAGCCCTTTTATGTGGTACGTCATATGCAGCTATCAGAAAGAATGAATTAGATCTAGAATGTTGATTTTAATGCTTATTGAGTGCTATGTGCCCCAAAGATGCAAAAAAATATGTATATACAAATCAGCTGTTCATTATTCTCTCGTGCTTTTACTGGAGGCCCCCACAGTGGACATAGTCAAAAAGCATTAGTGTGTGATACAGAGTTTGATACAATTTGGTAGGAAAGCAAAGAGGGAAACTGGTTTGAAAAAAAATTAGCAAAAGATTTTTTGGTTGACAATTGGTAAAAATTAAATATGAACTAATTTTCAGATGATATCAGGGATTTGTTGCTAATTTCCTGACTGTGATGATGGTATTGTGATTGTGTCAGTGTGTTGGAGGCGGTGTTATTGTTAGGAGATGTATGTTTAAGTATCTGAGTATCCTAATGTCTGCATCCTACTTTCACACGCTGCAGGGAAAAACTACACCCCAGTATAGATGAAGCTAATATAGTAGAAATTTGGAATCTAGATGATTCACCTTGTCATGCCCATGACTAAAACGTTTCCATGTCATATGCAGGTACTATGAGTAAGTTGACAAGTTTTAAGTTGCCTTTTAAAACATTGATTTTTAGAGTGTTTATCATATACTGTAAAGAAATGAAAAACCATATATGAGTATGCAATAAACTCATTTCATACTTTCAGGTTTTCTGGGTTTGAAATTTTTCGTAACAAGATTTTTGGAGGAAAAACTACTCAAAAAGCCAGAAAACTTTCCAGTAGCTCCAAGTTACCTGGGATAAAACAAACTATTGGGCACAATCACGGACCCCGCACCATCCCCCGCCTCCTCATCCCCTTCTACCCACGTTCAAGTAACGCCACGGACACCTTCGGCTTCACACTTCTTCCTCTTTGCCACCACCTACTGCTGGACACCCTCCTTGCTCCGGGTCAGAGGTCACAGAGGTGACCCTGTGGGAAGTCAGTACGTCCCACAGCGCAGTGCTCTGTCCTCTCATGTCCACCGGGTACTGCTGGACACCCCCCCAGCTCCGGGTGAGAGGTTACAGAGGTTACCCTGTGGGAGGTCAGGACACCTCATACCGCAGAGCTCCCGTCCTGTCCTGTCGCGGGACCCGGGGTCCTGGACGGCGCACTGGCACGCGTTAGGAGTTCCACGTGTTTGCTGAAAGGAAATAAACTCAGCTCCGCCGTGTCGAGTCCTTGCATTACATGTTTTCTCCAAAATACTCAATTTCCCAGCATTATTTTTGAGAATTCATAACGGCTAACCTGGTACCGGCGCGGAACCGTGGCCGCGGGTTCCCTGGAACCAGCACTCCCGCCACAGCCGCCTCGCCTCCGCACTGCCTGACGCCGCGGTCCTGCCGGCACCGAACCTAAACTCCGCGGCCCAGACTGAGCGCGGTGCTCTTCGGGAGCGCCGCCCGAGACCACCGCCAACCTCTCGCGAGGTCGCCACTGGGATCACCGCGCAGCGCGAGGGACTCCACCTACCTGCTAGGAGAAGAGCGCGCCCCAGATGGCCCCGCCCCCGGGCGCTCCGGCCCCGCCCACTGGCCCATAACGACCGCCACCTGTTCCCTCGAGGCCCGCCCACTGCTTCCCACAGGGCCCGCCCCCTGCCACCTCGACCCGCCCACTGCTGTGCACGTCCCGACCCTGTTCCACAAGGCCCCCCACTGTTTCCCACAGG